CAGTTCGTGTTTGACTCCCGACCGAGCAACACGTGTGTAGCCTTATCGCAACCGCATTTTTATCTACCGTTAGAAGTGTTCCTACTCTGCTCTGCGATAAACTGGTAATATGATTTTATTAAGCGCGATTAGCTATCTTCCTAATTAAAATCAATTACGATATTAAATTGCGTTCATTCGCAATCACCACCAATATGCCTACAACATCGGGCAACTTAAATTCAAACCCAAATAAACTATCTCTTAATGATAAATTATTAGCGTCCAAACACTCAACACCTATCCCCCCACCCAAAACCACCTCAACTCAAGACAACCTCATCGTCAATGATACCAACAACATTCAACCCACCTCAAATCATCCAATAGACAGCTCCCAAGTTAAAAGTTTCGCTGAAACAACAGCCAACTCTCTCATACCAAAAATGAACCAAGCTATCGTTATGAACTCAATCGACGGAATTAAACAAATACAATACATAATTGCGCTCAGTAAAATTACTGACGCAACCAACATTATCTCCGCTTCGCGCATATCTAATAACAGGTTCTGTGTTTTCTTCAAAAACCAACAGATTACTAATGACATCATTAACAAGCACTCGGCCATATTCGTTGATAACATTGAGGTACCGATACGCAAGTTAATTAACCCGGCCAAACGCATTATTTTATCGAACGTATATCCCGCTATTCCAAATAAATCTATCATCGAGGCGATAGAGACATTCGGTATTAAGATAACATCTCCAATCACGGCGCTTAAAGCTGGTTTCCCGCTCGATAAATTCGCACATATCACAAGCTTCCGCAGACAACTGTACATCAGTCCTGAAGACTTCCCAAAACTACCTGGATCGATCGTTATTGTCCTCGAAAACACCTCATATCGTATATTCATTACCGATGACATCGTAACCTGCTTTTTATGCAAAAAACCTGGCCATGTATCATCCTCTTGTAAGATGATATACACAACTCCCCCTCTGACAGAAAATATGGACACCTCAAATGGACAAACATCCACTAATACCTCATCCCATCATATTGTCGAAAAAACCAATAGTATGGACATGACTCCTGATCTACCTCTAGAAACTTCTAGCGAAATATCCAACACAAATAATACACAACTCACCAAAGACGATAATTACGATGATATATCGGACTCACAACCACTCCAAGCTACTTTCAAAAGGCCGGCCCCTGAATCCACATGCCCGTCAGCGCCTCCCTCCCCCACGTTGACCAACGACATAATTGAGTTAGGTAAGGATTCATCTGCTGCCAAAAACATAAAGTCCAAAAACCAAACCATAAAAAAAATTAAAGTCAGATCAAGATCAAACTCCTTAACAAGAACCACTGAAATATTAGATAACCTCCTCGAGCCAGCAACGGCTATCCTGCAGAATAAAGACTCCTCCCTTAATCTAATCACTTTCAAACATATTCTAGAAAACTTCACGAACAAAAATTTAAATATACATGAACTATGCATTAGTGTTGGATCCAATGCCACTGAAGTCCTTGATATGGCCGAAAAAGTATTACCACTAATGGTGGAAAAAAAAATTAAAAACAAAATATCTAAACTAACTCAAATTCTATTCCAATCTATACCTCCCCCCGAAAAGTGAACCCCGCAGACTTCCAACCTGAATCAATCAAACCAATAAAACACTACTCAAAATCTATCCCCACTTCCTTATCATAATGACCAATATCATACAATGGAATCTAGATGGCTTCTACAAACGAAGCACCGATTTACAACGAATCCTTTCCAACTTACAACCCAGCGTACTATGTCTCCAAGAAACCAATCTCAAAATGGGACAAACTGCACATGTTAAAGATTATACCAGCTATTGCAGGAACCGCGTAAACCCTATCAGAGCGAGTGGTGGCGTTGCCATACTCGTTAAAAATAACATTGAAAACAGCCAAGTCAATCTCCAAACACATCTCGAAGCCATAGCAGTAACAATAAAACTTCAAATCCAAATATGTGTATGCAATATATATCTCCCTGACAGCACCAACTTCAGCCTCCATGACCTTATCCACATTATCTCCCAACTACCAAAACCCTTTGTATTAATTGGTGACTTTAACAGTCGGAATACACTATGGGGCTCCTCCTATACGGACAGTAGAGGAAAAACAATAGAGAAACTGCTTGAAGAACCGAACATAATACTCTTAAACAATGGTAGCCCTACTAGACACAACGCAGCTAACGGAAAACTATCAGCAATCGACCTATCTATAGCAAGCTCAAACATTGCCCCAAGTATCGAATGGAAGACCCTCCCAATCTATAATGGAAGCGACCACTGGCCAATACAGTTACAACTTTTTCACCAATCTTCTAAAACAGACCCTATAAATAAATGGAAACTCAAATCACCAAACTGGGAACTATTCTCCTGCCTTGTTGACCAGTACATCACAGAAAACCAATTAGAAGTTCCCATTGAACATATACTACCCATAAACCAAACCCACATTGATGAACTGATCAACAAATTATCAACGCTAATAATAAAGGCAGCTAATATAGCAATTGGAAAATCTAGTCGCCCTCTTAACAAAAGAACAGTACCATGGTGGAACGAAGATTGTAAAAACGCAATCACAAAATATAAAAAAGCTCTCAACCGCTTCAAAAAAACCCACTTACAAACAGACCATATACTAGTTAAAAAATACAAAGCTGAATCCAGATACATTACAAAAAAAAGTAAACTAGAATGCTGGCAGAAATATACATCTACAATCAATATCAGAACCCACCCGTCAGCAGTCTGGAACAAAATTCGTGCACTCAAAGGATGTAAACACCAACCTCTTCCTAACCATATGCACCACAACCAAACTGAACTACATTCAACCTCCGAAATTGCACATGCCTTTGCTGAGACATTCCAATCAAACAATAGCAATGCAAATTATGAGGAGAACTTTCTAAATTTCAAAAATGAAACTGAAAATAATATCACAATTAACCCCTATCCTCAACCTGACAACGCGGAATATAATCACCCATTCAATATAAAAGAACTCCACCTCGCACTTCACAACTGTAACAGCAAAAGTCCTGGACCTGACGATATTCCTTTCACCTTCTTGAAAAACTTATCGGATAATGCTATCAACACTCTCCTCGCAATTTTCAACTTAATTTGGAACAATGGAATTTTCCCCAATCAATGGAGACAGGCACTCGTAATCCCTATACTAAAACCAGAACAAGATAAATTTAATATTCTTAGCTACCGTCCAATTTCGCTTATCAGTACCCTAAGCAAATTACTTGAAAAAATGATAAACAAACGCTTAGTGTGGTTTCTCGAAACGAACAAAAAATTCACAAAACAACAATGCGGCTTCCGCATAAACCATTCAACCCACGATGTCTTAGCTACACTTCACACTGATATAACTGAATCAATAATTAAAAAACAACACCTTATCCTAATTGCTCTCGATATAGAAAAGGCCTATGACATGGTATGGAAAAAAAAAGTACTATCCTCCCTCCAAAAATGGAACATCACAGAAAATGGCTAGCCTTTATTCACAATTTCCTTCTAGATCGAAAAATCCAGGTAAAACTAGGCAATACACTTTCCGAACATCTAGACATTGAGAACGGACTACCGCAAGGATCATCAATAAGTGTCACATTGTTTCTCGTTGCCATTAATGACATATTTAATAACATAAAGCCTCCCATAAAATGCACACTATTCGCCGATGATTGCAACATATATTGCAGAGGAGCTAATATCAAAACTACTGTAGCACTTCTCCAAACAGCACTAAAAGCCCTATCTGACTGGTCCTCCATCACAGGCTTCAAGTTCTCACCAGCCAAAACTCATTGCATAATTTTCAATAACAAAAAAAAAAATGAAACAATCCATCATGTATACCTAAACAACACAAAAATTGAATACACTGAAAGCATCCGTATACTCGGGATGATATTTGACAGCAAATTCACATGGGTCCCACACCTCAAAACTCAAAAATGAATGCAAGAAGAGAATGAAAGTCATCAAAACGCTGGCTCATACACATGGGGATCTGAAAAAAAAGCCTCCTCACCATATACAAATCGCTCATCCTATCCCAAATTGACTATGGCTCAATTGAGCGACTACTCAGCTAACTCCAACATCTTGCGCACTATTGACCCTATTCATAATGAAGGAATCAGGCTTTCCATAGGAGCTTTCCGTACCAGTCCAGTTTCCAGTATTCTCTGCATGGCAGGCGAGCCTCCTCTACAGATTCGAAGAAATAAGATATCTTAAAATACGCGGCAAAAGAAAAACCTTTGAACACACATGGCATCACAAATATTCACCTCCTCTCCTAGTCTCAGAACATCAAGGAACCATGAAAAAATCACGGACACGTACACTAAACTATGCAGCAATTCAAATTGCCTCGTCAACACGGACACCTTCTCTCCATTTACAACATCCCCCTTCTGGCAATGGACCCCTAAAATTAACACGCAGCTCCTTCATTTCAAAAAAAACAACACTTTGCATACAATAATCTCAAGAACCTTTAACCACACTCTATACTCTGAATACCAGGATTTTAATTATATTTACACTGATGCTTCCAAAACTAGTGACGGAGAGGATTCGCTAACTGTACTAACCATACTTCAAAACTCTTCAAACTCCTCCCGGAAGCCAGCATCTTCACAGCGGAAACCCAGGCGATCAAAGAAGCATTACTATTCGCAATACAACGTTCACAAATAATATTTTATAATCAGCGACTCTCTAAGCGCCCTCCTAGCATGAAGCACCAAACCCCTCTAATGAAATAATATACCAAATTAATAACATCATGTCCTCGACCAAAAAAGTAATTGAGTTCATATGGGTTCCCTCTCACATAGGGATCCCAGGAAACGAAAAAGCAGATAAACTTGCAAACGAAGCTATCACCTCGACCTCGTCCACACTCATTTCCACTCTCCATACCAAGCTATCAAAGAATAATAAACTTACACACTATCAATACATGGCAAATATCCTGGGACGAAATCCCAATCTCAAATAAATTAAAATGTATCAAAAAGAAAATTACCAAATGGCAAACACAGCCCAATATTTCTAGACGGTCTGAAATAATAAACACAAGAACAAGAATGGCCATACAACCTCACCCACATCACACATCATTTAAAAACGAAGAACAACCCTCTATGTAGCGATGCAATGAACCACTCTCGATTAAACACATTGTCCTCGATTGTCCGCTGTATTTCAACGCAAGGACCATTCTCAACCAACCGTCATCGATGGAGGAGGCACTGGGTGAACACCCACACTCACCCTGATCCACAGTTTCTTCAAACCACATTGGTTTTAGGACACTAAAATTTAATACTGTTGAAATTACTTAACTAACAAATATATTGTAAATAGAAAAATTTGTTAAAACTACTAAACCTATAATATTAGAATCCTTAATTATAACTAGATTGTACATTATCAGTGTAAAAACTACTGTAGGCTAATGACCTAGTAGTCGAAGCCTTATCTTTAATAAAAAAAAAAAAAAAAAAAAACTAAATTAACAATAATTTCTAAAGTCGTACAACTAGTATGATAAATAATGCAGTAATCATATACGTTTGTTATGAGTCTGTCTATATTTTGTTCTGTTATTAGCAAAGTTTAATTTTTTTTTTTAAGAATCTTAAAAGAATTGCTGCGTTTCATTTATATTGGTGGTATATTGAAAATTGTTGGATCAATGTATAGGTATCTATGTGGATTGTGTTAATTTCTATTTCTATTGATGGTATATTGTTAATTTTTTGTGCATAGTTACATTACTTTGATATTAGATATTTGCCTAGTATTGAGTCCGTGGTCAGTTTTAAAAGTAAGGTTATTTTTAATTATGTAAAGCACCGACGCTTTATAAAATAATTTTTTTATTGGTAGTATATTCATGTCATTATATAAATATTTTGAGTGGTATCTGGAGTCTTTTTTTAGAATGATTTTTAGTATCTTGTTTTGGATTTTTTTTTAATGGATCCATAGTTGCATCATACGTAACTCCCCATATAGAAATACTATAATTAATTATAGATTCTATTAATGCTTGATACACTACTCTAATCGTCTTAAGTTCTAAAATATCTGTTAATTTTTTAAGTGCATACATAAGTTTTCTTAATTTATTAATTAAACATTTTATGGGGTCATTCCATTTAAGATTATGACACATTTCTATACCTTAGTATTTACAGTTTTTAAAACTATTTTTACAAATGTTTGGCATGCACATATTTTTTGATTTAAACAGTCATTCTCTTGTATACATAGATTTGTTTATTTGGTGTGATTCAAATTAATTTAAAGTGTGGCAATAATGTAATATGAAGATTTTTTTCTAAGTTTAGGAATAAATTATTTTCACTGAGCCATTTTTGTAATTTACTCATGTCAGATTGAACACTACCAAATACTTCATCCAAGGATTGGCCTTCAACGAAAAGTACTGTATCATTAGGCGTATATAGTTTTCAGTGTGTATTCAAGTTATTAATTTGGTTAATATGTATATTAAACAGTGTAGGCGAGATAGAGTTGTCCTTTGAGGTACACCACATATTATTGAAGTTTCTTCGCTTAATTCATTGTTTATTCGAACGTGTTGTTTTCTATATTTTAAGTATGAACTTAATATATTCTGAGCCGTTCCATTGATACCACGTGTGATACCATTTTGTAGTATATTTTATACTATAGTATCACATGCTTTTTTGCTAGATCCAAGTAAACAGTTGCACATTTTTTTTAAGTCGAAAGAATTATAAATATAGCTGATACTTGTTGCAATTGCTTGTTCGGTACCTTTACCGGGTCCAAACCCGAATTGGGTACATGATAGAAGATTATACTTATCAAGGTAATGGACTAATTCTTTTTTAATAATTTTTTCAATAGTTTTAAAACATTCCGGAATAGTAGATGTTGTTATAGCTAAATTGAAAATGTGTGATAATGGTTTAATCAATGAATGTATATTTAATTTGAGCATTTTTACTGAAATTCCATCATTTTCTTTTCTTTATTTTAAATTTATTGACTAGAATTTCCATACTTTTTCATACTTAAGCATACACTGCGACATATTAAAAAAATACTGTTCGCGGCTCCATCGCCTTTGTATTATTCTTGATTTTTTTCCTGCTTTCATTAAGTTTGAAATTCTGCGTTGAACTTTGGACCGTATATACTTCTCAGTACCTACCTTTCTTTCGAAGGTCATTCGCCGTTGGCTGTCTCCTTTGGTCAGTGATCGTGTTTCGATCTTATATGTGATTATTGGTCGTAAATGGCTATGATAAAATAGTGTCTTTGAGTTATGTGACTCTGTGAAAGTAGTTTTGATTTAAGAAGTTTAATTTTGCTATAGTAGCACCGATGGCCGCATGTTATTTGATAGTTGATTTATTCGTACCTGTCCTTGTTCTATTAATGATAATGGTTAATTACTGAAATAATTCCACTTTCTTGAAATTTTAATCATTTACTGTTAAAATATTATGGTCTATGTTAGAGCTTCTTCTTGCTACCATTAAATATTTCGTCTTTTCCCCATTTACAAGTATCCCTGTATTACTTAGCCCCAAAATTTTACTTGCTAAGAGTCTGGACAAGTATTTTTGACTTCAATTCGTCATCTGCTTACGCCAATATTACTCATTCACTACATAATATTTCCATTTTTCGACCATCCCATACTTCTATCATTTAATTGTCTAATGGTTGATTCAGTAGAGTGGATGATAAAGTAATAACATTGTAGAAGACCTGACTTTACCTCAAAGGTTTCAGATATTTCCTGCAGGAGGCGAACTACGCATACATTTTTATTGTTACATTATTTTATAAGACTAACTTACTTGTTAGGAATGCCTGGTTCTTCCAGTGCTTCTCATAGTTTGTCAATTCAGTCATAAGCTTTTTATAGTCTATAAAGATTCTTAATCAAATTTCAGTTTTCAGTTGCAGTTCTTTATCAAATTTATAAAATTTAGCCATTATCTGTCTCAGTGTAACAATATGGTCCAATGTCGATCTACGTTTTCTAAAACCGCTTTGACATTCCCCGACTATTTCATTTATGTATTTTTCGTTCGTGGTTTGATGTTTCATAGAAAAGCATACATTTCCAATAAAATCTTCGATAATTTCCATGTAAATATTGGGATTGTGCCGATGGCATCCTAGAGGTCCTGATGAGCGGTTTGATAACGAAGTATAGTTCTTTGACGCACGTGTGGTTTGTTACGACGTGCACGTCCTTGACGTACGTGCGGTTCGCTGACGACGTGCCGTTCTCTGCGTTAACGGGCGGTTCGCTGACGACGTGCGGTTCGCTGACGACGTGCGGTGCGCTGACGACGTGTGGTTCGCTGACGACGTGCGGTTCGCTGACGTAACGTGTGGTTTGCCAACGACGCATGCAAGCCCGGATTAAGGATCGATTGAGCCCCGGGAAACATATACACTTAGTGGGACCCCTTTCAACTTTAACATAAAAATAATTGTATTATTACATATTAACGAATTTATATTATTGTTTAATTTTTTACTATACAACAAATATACAGGGTGTATGATATGTCATTGAACGCGGTTTTTTTTAACAATTATGTATCAATGATATGGAATTTCGTTAAAAAAAAAAAGACGTGTTTCTTTATTTTTAACAAGCAATTTTTTCACAAAATTTTCAACATTTATAAACACGCAGTTGTACCAATAATAAAATCGACTTTATTTTTTCAAATGGTAACCACTATATTTTTCGATGGATTCTGGTAAAACTTTTTTCTGAATATTTTGACAGTAAAATGATAAATTTTGGTTCGTTCGGTTAGGTTAGACTATGGTTCTTTAAAGTTTAGTTTAATATGCATTAATACTTGTCGACTGAAATACCTAATTTATAAGAGCTAAATATTTTTTTCTTATAACTACCTTTTTGTATACTTAAATAGTTAAATCGGTAATCTAAAATTATTTAGAGTAATTTTTCGTGGTATAAAGTTGAGAACAATTTTATTTTATAATTTTATTATTAATAATAATTTACCTACTATACTTACCTACTTCAATAATTTTTTTTTTTTTTTTGAAAACTGTATTTGAAATATATATTGGGGAAACAGATGGGCCCCCCAAACCAATGGGCCCTGAGACCATGCCCCCCTTGACCCCCCACCATAATCCGGGATTGGACACACGGTGCGATGCAGCCGACTTCGTGCGGTTCGCTGACGACATGCGGTTCGCTGCGTAACTGGCGGTTCGCTGACGACGTGCGGATCGCTGACGACGTGCCGTTGCGCTCAGGACGTTCGGTTCGCTGACGACGTATGGTGCCTTGACGACGTGTGTGGTTCAATGATGACGCTAGGTGCGCTAAAGAAGTGTGATTCGCGTGATAATTCATACATTTTCCATTAGAGGCTAGATATTCCCATTAGGTGCTTAATATTTCACAGACAAGCTATTTATTATAAAATCATTAATGTCACCCATACAGCTTATTGTAAAAGACTTTCTTAAAATGTGGACTATGCCTACCGGGGACACCACAATAAAAAAAACGCGCCACGTATAATACCTCTTGCGTTTAAACAACATGGACGATGTAATGTCTTACGTTTAACAAGCAAATGGTGGTGAGGAAATTTATGTACATCTTTGTCATCATGAATCGTGTGGTACTAATAGTTGCAATAAATAATTGCAGAGACTTTTTACATATATAAAAGTGATCTTAGTTTAAAATAATTTGGATTTAGAGATTATGTGGGTTTCTAGGAAGAAATTTCACACTTTTCTAACTTTGTGAAGTGCTAGACAAAGAAAATAGATAATAATTTATGATAATTTAGTTGTAGATTTAGATGAAAACTGTTCGCTGTGCATCGTCTTCGTATTATTCAAATTGCGGACAATTTATTATAATATTATTTAATTTAAGAATTTCGTTACTTTCTCATTTATTCCATATTTTTTTTCCATTTCAGGCTAGATATTTCCTCGAAACAGGTGTTATGCTTATTTTATGATATGTTTCGTACAGTTATTATTTAAAATATATACTAAAAACAAGTCTCAAAGCGGCACAAACAGGAAATGTTAGATTTCATAATGACATTAAAAAATAAATGAAAGTACGAGTGCCTATAAGCTGCAGGCATCGATTATTATATTAATTACTAGATTTTGTAGCTCTCTACCATCATTACAAGCTTGCTTACAGGTGGTAGATAGATTCATCTTATTAAATTCTTATAAACTTGTTATTTTGAGCTCTATATAATTTATAATAAATTAATTTTATTTAATAAAAAAAAAAAAAAATTACATGTGTCCGCGATACTGTCTGACTGGAAAAACCGACATTTTATAGTAATTATCGATGGTTGATTTTACTCTAAAACTTAGACGTACGCGTATACACCTATAGGCTAGATAACCTAGCTAAATTTTTTTTAAATTATTGTAATTTGTAGTTCTACTCAGGCAAGTCGTCAATGTCTAATAAAAATGAAAATAACATGGACAATACTCCCAAAACCTACGGCCCAAAGGCTACGGTGGCACAAGTTGGTATCACATTATAATATAAGTATACAAACCTTTTTTAAAATATAAAACAAACTAAAACAACTGCAATTAAATAACGCAGATTTTCGCTACAACAGCGCAGAACTTTCTATTAATTGGATTGGGCATGGAAATAGGAATGCCCACAATTGTTATTCAACATTTATATCGAAATTCGGACAGTGAATTCTCATTAACCTTAACTGAAGTTTCGTGGTATGGTTAGTATATAATAAAAATAATAGATTTACAGTTTAGGGTAAGTATAACATTTGTAAGTAATGGGAATACTCTAGACGTTGAAAAAAAGAATACTAGACTAACCTAACTCAAAATAATTGATTTATTCTATAATATTGCTCTCTATCGAGTCTTAACTGTTTTCTAATAACTCACACCACATCACAATATGTGTTGGCAATAATAGTTGTTGTGAGTACTAACCGACCGACCCGACTCGCTAAAAACAAGTCCAGCCACATTGTAGATTCGATTTTATTTTTATCATTGTTCTTGTAACATTTAACAATTATGGATAAGAAAAATAATAATGATATTAATGATGGATTATACATATAGGTAGGTACAATTTATTATTATTTATAATGATGAAAATATTTGAACAACTAACATGTATTTGATTCTAATTTATGTAGTTATTAGTTCATTGAGATTTCAGAACATGAACTATCTAAGGTAACCAAAAAAAGGTTAAGATTATTAAAAAACTAGAGGTTCGCTATTTAGTGAGTTTATCAAATTTAAAATCAGAACACTGCACTACAATACGTTTCACGAAATTGTACTCGGCTTATATGCGTCGTTTTTGTGATTAATTGTGGAGTATAATAATATTATTGTAAGTACCTATCAATATAATATTATACAAACTGCTGTTCGCCCACCAGTTCAAATCACCCACACTCTGCCGCATCAAATAGGTAAGCTCAATTATACATTTATATGTTTTACTATTATACAGGGAGAATATTGTTTATATTTCATCCGACCGGAAGTTTTATATCGGGATTCCTGCAAGAAAGATATGGAAGGAAACGGTGTATGATTCTCGCCAACGTTCCCAGTATTTTCGGATGGATATTGCTGTACTACACACACTCCACAGTTTCACTTTACTCGTCCACCGTGCTGATGGGCTTGGGCATAGGATTCAGCGAAGCCCAGATATTGTTGTACGTCGGCGAAATAACCGAACCGAGACTCAGGGGATCGATGGCTTCATTGGGGTGTACCTCGTCTATGCTTGGAGTGTTGTTGACTTACTTTTTGGGATATTTATTCGAATGGAGAACCGTCGCATTGCTGAGTACACTTTGTCCGATCACGTGTATATGCCTTGTGATTTTGGTACCTACCTATATTATGTTTGTTGTACGTATAAGTTAATTTTAATGGTACACATGAGCCTGTATTGCTTATAGATTCCAGAGTCTCCAGTGTGGCTGGTTTCCAAAGCGAAAAGCGAAAAAGCCAAAAATACCTTGTGTTGGTTAAGAGGATGGGTAGAACCCGAAATTGTCAAAACCGAACTCCTTGAACTCATCCGATATAACGAAGTATCTGGAACTCATCGAAGAACCGACGATGTTAATATTAGGAATTTATCATCAAAATTAGCCGAGCTTAAGGATCCTTCGGTGTACAGACCTTTTATATTTATGATGTTTTATTTCCTGATTTCCGATATCGTTAGCATTGTACCTTGGAGACCGTATACCAATAAAATCGTGACAGAACTTGGTACACCGAATAATTAAAGTATGCTCTTGGTAAATATAGGTACTACGGAAATATATTATACACTTTTATAGGTAAAATAATAAATATTTTTATTGAAATATTTCCAGGTAGTTTTTGCTGTACTACAAACTATTGGGTCCTTGATAGTAGTATTGACCGTCCATTATCTGGGGAAAAGGTTTTTGACTAATTTGACATTTTTTATCAACAGATTATTGATGTTTCTATTCGGCATCTACATTGTAGCAATTAAGAATGGCTATATCTACTCAACTCCTTGGATTCCTATAACTATGTTATGTAGAATTAACTTAATTGGAGCTTCAGTCATTATTTTGCCATGGATGTTACTTAGTGAAGTTTTTCCAAACAAGTAATGCTCATTAAAATTATACATTTTCTTTCACAATAATTTACTATTCTTAGAAATATAACAATACCTAAGTCAGTTGACGAATATGTTTAAATAAAATTAACAAGTTATACTAAGAGTCGGTATAGTATTTATGGTGGGGAGAATGTAGGGGATTTTTATTCCCCCACCAAATATAATTTATAATATTCTTATATACCTAGTGTATAATATAGTATTAAACTTTATAGGGAAAAAAATGTCTCTATTAATACAATTATTTTTCTTTTTTTTTTAAGAATTTATAGTGGTTTCTTAATGGTGTACATAAAAATATATGTTAGGACTTAAAATTGTGATATCCATCAAATAATTTTTGATTCAAGATAGAAATGTATTACTTTCCGTATGTTTGTACTTTTGTAGCTTATAGACCCAAATACTACTCCACCGTTTTTGACAAATATTCGCTATATTTGTTGATAGTCACCATATTATGTACTTATAGCCTATAGGTAGCTAGAAGGAACAGAGTACTTGTACGAATATTTGATATTTGCTATTTGTTCTTCGCTACCTCCTGGTGCATTATCGGTGACACGAAACAACGATATACGTTATGTGTTCGTAAAATAAATTACTATAAATAAATTATTCGTTAAATAATTCCCAAGGGGGGGGGGGATGGTCTACTTGGCTGGTCAAGTAATTTGATGATTATTCGAGCATTAGAGAATTGAAAGCCGATATAATATTATATATACATAAATTATTATAATATTTTAACATAGCTGTGTTGCCTACTCATTAATCATAAATTATTATTATGTAATAGTGTAGTACTCACATTAACTAAAAGTAGATTACAACATAGTATATTTTTGGGGATGATTAAGATGATTAGAGATAGTAAGTACAATATTCTATACTCACCGAAGAATAATATCTATGTAAGTACATAATTTTAGGTAATATTGTTTATTTTTATAATTGACATATAAATTAAGAATCAGGTATATTCCATCATTTTAATAATTTAATCTAATTGCAGTTTGTTATGATTTTTTTTTTCAGAGCCCGAGGTATTGTGACTGGCTCATCTGCAGGATTGTCTTATTTATTAATATTCATATTAACAAAATCATACATAGAAATAGAAATATTCTATTGACGTTGGAATACACTATGGTTCTCTTTGGTTGTTTGGGCATTATTGGATCACTCTACTTATACTTTTATTTACCAGAAACGGAAAATAAAACACTATTAGAAATCGAAGAATTTTTTGCATAAAATGTACAAATAAAGCTATTTATAATAATTAAACATAACATTAATATATGTACCCAGTTTCGTCTTTAGAATATCACGAAATGCATTTACTTGAAAATTTATAATTCCAATTTAAAGCTACATTGTATCACATATCCTACATACCTACTTAATTAAGTCAGTACTATTCTGTGATGTGAAATATTTTTTTTTAATTACCGTATACATTATTTCCTTTATTAAAGCAAATATTTTGACGTATAGTCATAATATATTGTGCATTAAAATTAACGTAAATGTTTGGACGCAAAAACAATTTATAATAAAGTGGGTAAGTAGATGTCGCTCTGCTGTACAGTAAGTTACAAGTGGTTCAATGTATAAAGCGGTGCAGGAGAACGATTCTGCAAACTTTGTGGAATCGTGTTGATTTTAATAGCCACTAATATACATACACTACTCCGCAAATGTAAGATATATATACACGATTCCGCATAATTTTAAATGCAACGTTGCCATTCCGAAAACAAAATAATATTTTTAAATTTCAACGAAATAACTATTTGCTTGGTTAAGCTTGGTTTTAATATGAAGTAATCTTGTCTAAATTTTTTAGGTTGTATATGGTTACAGTAAAAACATTGGTAATATATAACAACATTCAGCGAAAATGTCATTTAAATTTGGTATTTTTTTTTTAGAGATACACAAAAAACAAAATAGTTTTTTTTTTTTCAAAAAATAGTTTTGCATAAAAATCTCAGTTCTTAATGACACTTTTGAAAACTATTTGTAATTTTTACTTTTTACCCCAAAGTACTAACTAGATTCACTTTCCTACAAGAAATATGCTGTTGAAGAAAATTCAAGCATTTTTAATGTAACAAACGATGATTACAGACATAAATAAAGATAACAAATGGTTCCTACAATCCTGCTGTATAGTATAGTTGTCGAGCCATAGCTAAATAATAAATAGGTAGCGTACATTTCCGGTGAACGTTTTTCTTTTTGACTGAGATAAAAAAACTTGTGGGGAACCATCTATTAAAATGATTGATATCAATCATAGCACGAATGATCGATACATTAACTAATAAAATAAATTATTATTAAACAAATAGTTAATGCATTTAGGTACCTAATGAGTAATCATTTAAAACTCAATTAAAAGAACTATTAACATAATATGTTGTTTCACATCGTGATATGAAACAAAACAATATTATTGTTAATTTTTGAATATTATTTATTATATAGTATTTTTATAATGAACAGTATACCTATATTATATAAGTATAATAATATAATTATATTATATACTTCACTTTGTACTATCTATTATTATTATGATGTATAAACTCTATATGCCTCTATGTCGTATATAAAATTGATATTATACTGTGTTGGCTATTATCTAAATAAACATATTATATTATGCTGTGTATTACTGTGCTGGCTATAAATATTATTATTATTATTATTATTAATATTATTATTATTATTATTATTACTATTATAGTAGGAAGCTGGTGAATATATTGTTTATTTTTGGACGACGATAAACACTTTGTAAATGTTTAATCGAATAAAATTAGTTTATTTATATTGTAATAAATTTCGACAGTGTTTTTTTTTTAATAATTGTATCGAATAAGTTTTTAACTATTTTAACTTTGGTTTTTTTATCATAGTGTTATTGAATTAAAATAATGTTTTCAATTTCATTTTTGTCCACGACTTAAAATAGCTGCCCACACAGAAACTAGCACCCTAAGTTTCAAGCGTAAAGTCAACCAATATTATTAAGATGTGGCTGAAGCTGGTCCAAGTTATGCTAAAGGTATGGTTTTAGTTAAATTCCATTTTCCTTGAGTATTAATAATACTTAACGTAGTTAAAATTAGTTATATAACGATAGGTGCACTTAGGATTGATTCGATAATCCAGATTTATTAAAAACCAGATTTTAGTGAAATAATTTACAAGTACGGACTCATCGTTATAAAACGTTTAAAATTTGTACGAGATTAAATTTCTTTCAACATTAAAATCCTAAGACCGCCTATGGTTATCGTATTAAATATTTGAACTCATAGGCGTTACTTATATATTTTGAGAAACACTGGCATTTTGCAATTTTTTTTTCTTGTGGGATTCGGTTTTAAAATACCAATAATATTTCTAGTGCTAATACTTGATATTATATAAAACACAAAATATAATAAAAATATACATATATACATATTAAACACAACATATAATAAAAAAATAAATGGATAATTAGGTAACGAATTCAGTAAATCTAATAAAAATTACATAGGTACCTACTTATATTAAGGTAACGTCCCAGGCTTATATTTTATTTTTATTGTTGTGATTTTTCTATAATCACTGTATCTTTTAGTAGTTATCGCTAGTTATTAGGTACTTACCTATGTTCTACTCGAAATAACATATTTACAGTCAAAATTTATGTCATACAAATTCATCAGTCAGACAAATTATTTTTAAATGTTTTTAAGCTTTTAATTGTAATTCATATACATAATTTGAGTAGTGTTAAATTTAACTTTTTTAACTGTCTATCTATTCTATTGTAATGATTACCCATATATTAAATGATTAAGCACATTTTTGTTAAAAAAAGTATTTTTTTACCCATTGAAATTGAATAAAAATAGATGAAAAATAGTTTGTTCGCGTAACAATAGTTTTTAAAAATATTACAATTATGTAGGTACTTTTTTTATTAGTTTATTAAATGTATCAAAAATGTAATGATTTTAAATGGATATGATATTCTATGTATATATTAAATATTTTATTATATCATGTTAAGCGTTAAAAGTTTAATTTTTAAATAATCCATTATTAAATAATAATAATAATAATTATTATTATTACATTTTTTCATTTTTAATTTGGCAGCTCATTTCGGCAAACCGTATAATTTTGGTGAACCGTAGGCAGCATTTAGAATCTAAGGTGCAACTCGTATAGTAACGCCTATAATGATTTAAGCGCAAAATATATAGTGTCAATTTTTAATTAGTTATAGTTTGTCGTTAGGGTTACCTACTTAATCCGTTTCTAAATATATTGAAGTTATTCTATTGTCGGGTTCTTTTATCAGTTTTTAACTGTTAAATTATGTTAGTATTAAGAATAAAGTACCTATTTCTATATAGAAAATGTTAAATAAGTGAAGTTGCTAAAGATGTACACGACGTGCACCTTTATTTAAATAAACAAAGACACGTAAGTTTACAAAAACTATTCACGTAGGTAAATATACTGTACATATTAATGTGATTCACACAAGTCATAAGTCGTCTAATATTAGCGCTTATAAGACAGAATTCTGAATTATAAAATACATTAGTTATATTC